CAAGTTCTTCGTCATGGCAGCAGATCCAAATAACAGCAGCAATTAGCTTCTCTACAGTTGAACATCCTTTTTCGCGATCCTGTTTTTGGTTTTTCCCCACAGAATTATTTGGGGTTGAAGTCAGAGAGTTTCCAGACCAATTCAGAACACCTAACCCATTATCTTCAAAGAATGTCAGCATTTTTCTAGAAAATCCCTTCCCCATCAGGAAAGTCCTATCTCAATGGGAAGCAAATGAGCTCCCAAAATTGCTGTGCTATTTTTTGTTCTTGTTCCCTCAAAAAAAACAAGCCGCCCAGGGCTTTAGGTGGTTGTTTTGGCCCTTGTTGAATGTGCCCATCCCAAAGAGATTCGCCTTTGCTCCTCACTACCACTGTCTTTTACCCATGACATCGACCTCAACTAAAAGGGAGATTAATAACGGAATTTCTAACGGCGCTTTTTTCCGTAGAAAAAATACGTTAACCAAAGGGGAGAAAATTAACCAACGACGTTCGTCCGGAACATGTCCCCAGCCACTCCAAGACTCAGTGTGCCATTGTTTACAAGCTGTTGCGATCGGTTTCCACATGTGCCTCCCATACATTTTGGATTTTCCACTGTTTCAAGTGCTTGTAACTGCAAATAAGCCACCAGGGGCCCCCAAAAAAGCTTTACTCAAATCACGTTTTCTAAGGCTACGTACTTGAAACCTTTTTAAAGTGTAGCACCCATCATAAATTTTAAAGTAATCATGAACTGAAGGGGAAAATTTGGGGAACACAGGGAGAACACTTGCGGGAAACAGCCTTACAGAACAACAGTTGTGCACTAGCCAGTTTTTGCGGGTAACCCCATAAGGGAGGTTCCAAAAATAAATAGCAAGCTCTTCTAAAAGGAAAAAAACCCCAAACTTCATTAAAACCCCAAAGAATAAGACATATGAAAAAATTTACTTTCTCTGGGCTGGCGGCGGGCTGGCTGGCTGGCTGGTGGCTGGCGGGCTGGCTGGCTGGCGGGGCTTTTTTTTATTATAAAATAATAATACCTCACTGCTACCCACATGTTTCCTTTCGATGGCAGGAAATAAAAAGAAACAAAAATTAGAATTTCAAAAAAGAAACAAAAAATATGGGTTAAAAATACCCAAAATTAATTTATGCAACAACGTTTTCGTATTTCAAAATCAGAACTTTTTTTTCTGACACAAAGATTTAAGAGTGAAGATTATTTCAATGATGAACGAATTCAGTAATCTAAAGTCAATGTTTTGGCACCTGTGTTAGAAAGCACTGGAAACTGAACATTATGTACAGCGTGAGTACTAAAGGAGACACATATCCTGAATTTCTGTACATTAGTACTGAGCTTATTACTACACAGCAGAGACGGAAGGCCGATGTTATCACCCTGGAACACTGTTAAGACTTGGAAGGTTATCACCCTAGGAACACTGTTAAGACTAGGAAGGTTATCACCCTAGTAACACTGTTAAGACTTGGAAGGTTATCACCCTAGGAACACTGTTAAGACTTGGAAGGTTATCACCCTAGTAACACTGTTAAGACTTGGAAGGCTATCAACCTAGGAACATTGTAAAGATTTGGAAGGTTGATATCATTTAGTAACATTGCATAGACTTGGAATATTGATCTTGCTATCTAGAAACACACTAGACATTTGGGAGATTATTGTTAACATCTAGAAACACTACAGAGACCTGGAAGATTAATCTCATCAACCATCAATACTACGGAACCTTGGAAGGTTCACTTCATCACAGACTCGAGTACCTTGAAGAATGTTAACCTGTTTCTGAATTACATTAAGACGAATCATTTCCTCCACTTTCGTGTTTATGATTAAATAAGTTATATATTTACCTTGGCATACGGTATGACTAGTGATGTTATTTAGTAATTTGTTATACACTTGACCAGGAGTGGGCACGATGTGGCCCGCGGGCCAAATTTGCTCTGCCAAATTATTTCTGTGGACTGCTATTGCATGTGTCATGTGGAAAATAGACGCCGAAAACAGCAAAACTCCACCTTGCAACCACCTCATCAGAGAAGGATAAAGAAAACTTATGGGAAGATCACCCAGTAAGATCGATCCTGTTTTATTACGATGATGTACTTAAAGTACTAATTATGTTGCATTTTAACTGTATATTTTGACTAATTGTTTTGCTGAGGTTTGTATTTGTATTGTCATTAGTGTTAATAAAAAAGAAAACCAAATGATGTATTTATTTACCAAAAATACCTACATTCGATAACATTATCCTTATATTATGTATCTCCTTTGTGCAAATATGTATATGGATCTATATTAAGCGTGTATTAACTCTCACAAAGTGGCTCGCCACCGACTATAACTGCCCACTCCTGGACACTAATGCACTAGCATTAGTACAAACTTAGTATTTCTAGTACTACACCCCTCAAGGAAGGTTCCTTGATGTTGGTGAGGGGCTCTTGATTTAGGGAATTGGATCTGTGCTCCAGTTCCCCAAATTAAGCCTGAATGCCTTCCACATCCCCCCCCAGGCGCTGTATAATCCTCCGGGTTTAGCGCTTCCCCCTTGATTGTAATAATAATAATAATCTAGTACTACTACCGCTGTTACTGTTACTGCTGTTTCATAAGTGTTACATTAAGCCTTTTGTCAAAGTTTCTTTTATTATTTTTATTATTTTTATTAATATTATTATTATTCAGCCTGGTATTTACCGCTATCCTCTTGTAATTATAGTTATTTTTTATATAATAAATACTTAAACACTGATACATGAAGTATCTTTTTAAAATTATTGAATATGATGCAATCACGTACCTGCGTAATGACGATGCGTGTTTTCATTTTTTTAAATGTAAAGCCATTTATGACATGTATAGGAAAAATGCGCTGTTGTTATATAAGAGTGAACTTGGCATACATAAGAGTGTACTCAGGGGGTGTACTAGGCAGGTCCATATACAAGGGTATTGATTTTCCCTTCACTGGATAATAGTGAGAGGAATATTCGCGGGAGATGGGTACCTTTTGCTTTTGCAAGGTCCCATGCCTCTTCTCCCCCGTCCATTTCTTCCTCCTCATCCTGTCCCTTTCCTCTCTTCCCCCGGTGCTTTTCCTCTTCCCCTGCTACCAACACCTGCCTTACCTAACCACACGTGACATTTATTATTATTATAATCAAAAAGAAGCGCTAAGCCACAAGGACTATACAGCACCACACGTGGCAGAGTCTGCACTCATTCCCTTCTACCACCACTTATTCACACCTGTCACCCCCCACCACCCACCTTCACCTGCAGTGCCAATCATAGATTTTCCTCCTCCCTCCCTCTCTCGCTATATATCCCCTTCTCCTTATTCTCCTTCCTCTTTACCCTCCGTCCTCCTTACCCTCCTTCCCTCCCTTAAAACTCTTCCACTGCCAGGAACCTGCCAACGGGTCGCTACTCGCGGGGAAGATAAAAAAAAAAACTCGTGTCACCGGATTCCAACCAGTTAATTTTTCATTTATTATTATTTTGGTTAACGGGTACGTCGAAAGATAATCCTGTATTGAGAGAACAGTAAAGATGTGGAAGAGACGAGGGTTTCTTACCCGCGCATGTGTGGGGTGTGTGTGTGAGGTCGTCATTAAACAAAGGATTTTTTGTGTAGAGGCTACGAGGGTAGAGATGGGAGCACCTGTACTCACTCGTCACAGTGTTAAACTAGCAGTGTGGGAGAGCCTGACATCTACCTTCCTCGGTCACCACAACAGTGTGAAACTTATGCAGGTGTCGTGTACCTCCCTCAGTCGTCACACAAATGTATTCTCACCTACTTAGTTTAGTCTGTCCACTGAACTTTGGTTAAGTCTTGAATTCACCCTCATACTAACATCAAGAATCCTTAATCTATTTTAGTAAACAGTGATGGGGACCCCATATAGGTGTATATATGCTGACATAAATGTTTTATAGGAGACATTTTATGAGTGTTTGTAAGGTAGCTAATCTTTAAAAATAGGTGAAGCTTACATACGTTGTGCCCCCCTACTCGAGAAAATGAGGGGCCAAGTTTTCCTTGTCCCCCGCGACTCCCATATACTTATACCCAAGTCATGTGAGGTAACTACTACCACTTTCTAGTGATCGCGTGACTAGTGCTTGTGGTATGATGCTGTACACTAGTGTCAGGGGCACGAAACTCTTAGAGAATTTCCTACCCAAGGGCAAGCATGTGTACAGTATATGGTTGCCTCCATATACATGTGGGTGTGCGCGCTTCAACGGCTGCGAGTTTGTGTGTACTCACCTAGTTGAGGTTGCTGGGGTCGAGTCCTAGCTCCTGTGTGTATGTGTGTGTATAATGTGCGTTTGTATGTGTGAGCCTTCGTGTTTACACATTCTTTATGAACACCGGGAGGAGAGTTGTCTCGCGGTTAAAGTGGTTAATATTCTATCCAAGCAACTTTCCAGGATTGCTCAAGATTCCTCTGTCATTTATTAGATTTGTTCCCCTAAAATTTTGGGGTTATTGTTGAGAGGTGCAGCCTGAGGCTCGAGGTGTAGGTTCTATAAACACATCGATGTTCCTGAATCATGTTGACCTCGGAAATGACGAGAAACCTTGTAGTATTACCGTCCATAAAAGTATTTTTCCTGGTTTTAGCAGTACCATGGATTTGTACACTATAAATCTGAACATTAACGTATTACAATACATCGAAATTCACAGCGTCTGAAGGTCAGTGAAGTAAATACAGTAAGATAATAATAACATTTAGCTTACAAAATTAGCGGCAACACTTCTCTTGTACCTAAGAATTGTGTACCCCTGAGCAAGTGAGGTTCCTGTTGTATACATTCTATTATTATCAACATGCTCTTACTATTTATTTTTTTTACTGGATGTTATGTATAAGTGACTATAGTTTCACAGTTAAGCAAACAATTTATTAAAAAAAAAATAAGTGAATCAATGTACCGTAGATTAATAAGCAGCAAGTGTGTATAGAATAGCTGGCACCTGTGAGGGGGTTGTGGTGTGGGTCCCAGATGGCCGGAGGAAACTCTAGTGTTTGTGTCAGTCCTCTACTGAACGTGTTGTAGCGAAGATAAGGTGAGCGTTCTATCCTACTGCCGTGGGATATAGCTTTTTATTTTGTGTATTGTGTCTTAAGGTATTTTGTTATATGAAGTGATGTGTTCACAGCTGTTGTGTATATTGTATGCGGGATATGGCTCGTGCAGAGAGTATCAAGACCTTGATCTAATTAATATTTCACTTTGATGATCGACTTATGTAAAAATTTTATTACTCGCACATAGCGTCAGTTTCTACAAGATTCTAAATAACGTAACCAAAACAACAATAATATTTTGCTTGTAACACTCCCAAGTCTGGTTGTATTAAGGTTTCCCACTATTTTAGACGACTAATAAAAGAATGAATGAAACTCGAAGTTTGTGGTAGACATGTTAATTTTCAATACGGTTTCTCATTAGCATATGTGTCCAGTACAGGACAGGCTAGCATAACAACAAGGATTGGTTAGTCATCCTGGAAGTGAACAGCTGGTATTGGCAAGTGTACCGAGGTGTCGTGTTTGTATACTAAAGCAGAAAGTAGCAGTAAACGACAATGAAACAGGATAGAAGGAAAATATAATAGGAACCAGTCACAAATGGTGTTCTACAGGGGTTAGTGTTGGACCCCATGTAGTTCACACTCAACATAATTGACGTAATTGAGGGAATGAAAACCAACAAGTTTGATGACACAAAGATAAGTAGCATTGTATATAATAGAATCTGCCTAGCTTCGGCTATTAGGCCTACTGTGTTAGGCCTAATGGCCTACTATGACACTAATGGTACACGAATACCGAGAGATTGATAATACAAACACTAAAGCGCAGTAACGAAAACTATTATTGACGTTCCCCTTGTATTATACAGTTGGTTAATTGGGGTTAAGGCTACCGGCCACACAAATGGTCAAGGAAGCATGTAAACTATACATTACCAGCCAAGGATACTTTAATTCTGAAAATATGGATTAAACTCTAAGCACATATACTCACGGAAAAAAAAAATGCAACTTTCGCTGTAGGTGATCTTGCTTTGCAGTAGAGACAAACAATATAAAGGCCAGAGAGAGGTCAGTGAGATGAAGGCAAACGCTGGAGAATACATTAGGTTTTTTGTAGGTCATGGGGACGTTTTACGCAGTTCTAAGATGAACATCATAAACTGAGTGTATAATGCATCGTAATACACATAATCTGTAAATGATAAAATAGACCAAAAAAGTGTCATAGATGATAAAACATTCAAGATAATAGAAAAAATAAATCAAAGAATATACATAGGAAAAAACTTTCTCATTGTATTTTATACAAATAGTGATAGCACTAGGAGCTAGATGGACGGGATAAGATTAATTGAATGATCAGTAAATACAGCTAATATAACAATAACCGAGACATGCGAAGGTTTAAATTATTCCGTATTGACACAAGTCGCCCCAAAAAATCTCGTAGCCTGTGTATGTAAGAGAAAACTTGAACCACTGCATCAGAAAGATGCGTTAAACTAAGTCACAGACAACTCGCCTCTTCGAGACCAAGTTCTTTTTTTTTTTTTTACAGAAGGTAATGCTGAAGACGCTAAGATTGTTTGGCTACAGTTTTCAGAAGAAAACGAAAAACTGTTCTTATGTGTAAAATATGAAGCCCTATATTAGAGACCATAGAAGCCATCTTTATTACCAAACTGATAACGCTTGATACCATGAAAATGTAGTATGTAATTATAGAAGATTGAAATTTTAGACAATGTGACGAATTACTTGACTGGGAATCAAGAGTTAAGTGACTTCCTCGAGGCAGTCCAGGATTGTTTTTAATAGCAAATTGTGACAGAACCAGTGAGAATATATAACTTGCTTGACTTGATTCTGGCAAACAACGAGACTCTTGTAAACAATTTCAAGATCATGGAGGAGCTTGGCACAAACAATCACAAACTTGTTACGTTTAAAATTTCCTGGAAATACGATGATGAAGAAAATAGATTCAGATTTTCGCACAAAGGGTTACAATTTAACTTGGAGAACACTTGTCTAGTGATGACTTGCGCAATAGAGAACTAGCAACATAAAATTTTTTTTAAACTATACGTGTTGCCCAAAGATATATTCCCAAAGAAGAAATTGACCAAATAGAAATTATTCAAAAGTAATGAACATAAGAGTGTTCAACTGCCTCCCAGCATACAAAGGGGGATTACCAATAGACCCCTGGGTGTCTTCAAGAAAACACTGGACAGGCACCTAAAGTCATTACCTGACCAACCGGGCTGTGGTTCGTATGTCAGCTTGCGTGCGGCGAGCAGTAACAGCCTGGTTGATCAGACCCTGATCCACCACGAGGCCTGGTCTCAAACCGACCCCCGAAACCCTATCCAGGTAAACTCCAGGAGACTTATAACTGTTTTGAGGGTAGAGAAAAGCGCATCAAGACCGGAGGTCATCTTATGAACCAATTCACTCTAAGAATGGTCAAACAAACAGTTAGGCAAAGTTAAACGAGACTATATAATTCAAATTATCAAGTAATAAAAGAAAATTCCTCCCAAGTATATACACGAAACAAAGATTATACAAAATTTGGGTCTACTTTAAACTGACTGTGAACAACTTACTGACGATGAGAAAGAATCTGATCGATTTTTAACTATCATTTTATGTCACTCTTTATGCAAGAAGAGACAAAATCCAGTATTGAATTATTACAGTAACCTTCTAGATAACAAATTAATATCACCGTTATCAGAGACAAGATTATCAACTGAGTATACCACTAAAAACACAACAAATCCTTGGTATCAACTAATTGCTTTAAAGGGTTCTTAAGGAATATAAGATGGAACTTAGTGAATTGCTATCTAGTCTCTTCGATATATTACTGCAAATGGGCTTCGTTTCAGATATGCAGATGACTAATGTGGTTCTTTCTACTAAACAGGTGATAAGTCCCTTCCATAGAATTTCTGCCTAATTAGTTTGTCGTCAGTATCCCTCAGGGAGGTTCCTTGACGCTGGTGAGAGGCTCTTGATCTACGGAACTGGATCTGTGCTCCAATTCCCTGAATTAAGCCTGAATACCTTCCATCCCCCCCCACAGGCGCTGTATAATCCTACTGGTTTAGCGCTTTCTATTATTATAATTGTCAGTAGTAGGCAAATTAAAACAATCGATAATAGCGGATACAATTAGACGATACTTTTATAAATGTAGTTTAATGAATTACTCCCAAGAGGTCAGTCATACCTAACAAATTTGCTGATTTTTTCTGATAGGTTTTTAATGCAGTAGACCACCATTAATCATATGATGCTTGCCTAGACTCCAGTAACGCTTTTGATATTCCCACACAGGAGACTGTTAAAGTGGCAACACATGGTATTGAACTAAAACTCTTCTCAGGCATCGAGGTGAATCGAGGTATGGCTAAATAATAGGCAGCAAAATTTTCTTTTATAAGGATGAAATTATAATGAAAATTAGTCACAAGTGGCATTTTACAAGGATCAGTTTTGGGTCCCAGGTCCAGGTGCTCTGGCGGTAGAAGGTGCTTGCTGCCTGGTGCATGGCTGGTGGGGCAAGAAGACAAAAACACGGCCCTCAGGGCTACACTGGAGGTAACAGCGTACCTTTGTTAGTTGCTCACCCTTCCAGGGCTCAGACTCTGCGTCTCATATCCTGAGTGACGAAATATGACAGGGGTAACAGCATTTATTCCCACTGCGTAACCCGTATTGAATAATCTACCAGCACACTGCTGATGTATCCAATTTTGCTGAATAAAAAAAACGCATCTCGCATAACGATCATTGTATATGCTTTTTTTTTGACATTTCTTCCCTTACGAATGATGCATAATACTGTTCGTGGAGCAATTCAGTGTTGCAAAATTATTTGTGAAACTACATGAAAATAATGTTCCTGACATGACTGATCATAACAATAGCGTTCAAGACATGACTACGATAGGTTTTACTACACTAGTCCCAAGGTTTTATGTTAACACGTAGTCTATTCTCGCACTACGAGTCATTCTCGTGCAGATTTTGAACGTTCACTTGGTAACTTGTACCATCACCACTCGCCAGGGAAGGTTCCTTGACGTTGAGAGGCTCTTGATCCGTCAAATTGGACCTGCCATCCCCTTTAATCCAACCCAGGCGCTGTAACCTCCACGGGATTAGCGATAATAATTAATAATAGCAAAAAATAATAATAACCGCCGCTAGATGTGTCGCTGCTCGATATTTTTTTCCTTTTTGAGGTTAAAATGGCATTTTATGAACTAATGCAGCATAATCTAACCCAGTATTACCACACCTAATATAAAATAAGGAAAATAATGTTTATAGTATTACAGGAAACGTTAAGAAACTGACTCGGGGAACTTCGTGGGAAAATGTACGTATTAATAGGTCAGGTTGTAGCGCTGGAGGTGTGGGAAGCAAACACTTGCTCACAAATACATTCACCCGAACAAACAATGATTTACTGACTTTTCGCCGTAAGTATAGCTTTATCAAGACTTGATAAAACTCTACCTAGAGCCATGCGTCTGTAAATGATACTTAGTGGGCATAGTGTCATTTTTATCACTGAAGTTAGTGTTGTCTTATTATTATATGGGATACAACCAGAATCATTAGTGACATCACTGAGTCTCTTCCAATATGAGATACATAACGAAACTTGACATCACTTGGATCACCTCCACTTTGGAAGATTTATTTTTTTATATTTTGGTAAAAGTTGGATTAGTGCAGTACGCCAATGCTACTGGTGTTGTTGCTACACTCTTGTCAATGCTGCAATATTTACATAGTTACTTAGTCACTACACTCTTGACCTTGGTGAAGCTGTTGCAAAAGCAGAGCTACGTAGCACTGGAAGAGGAGGCAACACCTCACAGGCGAAGGCCAAGAGGCGGGTAGTTGTGAACAGGTGCTGTCAAGAGGCAATAGTACCTCACACAGGTGGGTAGGTGCGGACATCCAACCCACGAGAAGCATCAGTTCCTCTTACAGATGGCAGT